TAATGATAGGGTCCTGCCTGGGATTTGTGCCAGGCATCATGGGGGCAGTGCAATGCTAAATCATCAAGGTGCTTAGCTCCTTCTTCCCAGTAGCCCCTATGACTTCTTCCTCCCAAAAGTCTTTGCCAAAGCTCATACATGTAAAGATTTACCCAATCCCCTGCACTCTCACAAAATAAATTAGCTTACATCAGCCCCGAAAACCCTCCCCAATTAGAGAGCCTCTATAAGGCAGAACCCACCCTTTTTCTGCAGAGAGACACCACAGCCCTCTCTGGCCGCATTAAACTCTTATCTGGCTGCCTCCTCTCTTTTAATATTCTTCCCTGCTCTAGATTGAGTACAAAGTTTCAACTCAATCACCTATGGTTTTGGTTTCTCGGTTATTAACTATGATGTGACCTGCAGCAAGTTGTTTAAACAGAGTTTCAAATTATTTGCCCATAGATGGAAGTGATGGTGGTATCATTCATGAGTTATGAATGTGATATTAGTAACCAATATCTATTGAGCTAAGACTTACTATGTGCCAGGCACTGAACTGAGTATTTTACTTACATTAACTCTCTTATTCCTGCTAACAACCTATATGGTAAATACAGGTCATTCTCCTTGTCATTGACATAATGTCCAGATCCCACAACTCAAAGAAGAGATTTATATTGGCTCCATTTCAGTTCATACTTATTCCTCCTAAACAGGAGGGGCATGGCAGAGGACAGCTGCTCAATGCATGGTGGACAGGAAACAGAGAGAGAGTGAAGGGAAGGAGGGAGATAAACCTTTCCAGGTCATGTCCACAGTGATCTACCTCATCCAACCAGCCTTGGCCTCCTAACATCCCAATTGGTTACCCCCCTAATCCAGCATCCCCATAATCCAGTCACTGTCTTTGAGCACAGGAGACTTTGTGGGAGACATCCAGACATAAACCATAACAATATTACTCTTAATGAGAAAAAGCCACAGAAAGCTTAAACAACTTGCACAAATAGTTATACACACATCTGCAGAGGTGATTTGAACCCATATCCTTACCACTACATGATCCTGCCTTGTGAATTGCAAAGCCCAACAGCTGGAATTGTTAAAGAAGGATAACAGGGCCAGGACTGAAGTGTTGCTGGGAAGCTGTGGACAGCAGAAAACTAGCCAGAAATAAGATCTTTTAAGGGAAGGGCTGAGACAAGACTGGCCTAACTGTGAACTTTCAATTAATGTGGGCCACTCAGGGAGTTAGAGAAGGAGACCATAGAAGTAAAAAGAATTGTACAGAGTATATAGTCCCATAACTTTTTTTTTTAAAGTTAATCATTTTGTGATAATTGTCTTTATTGAATTACAACATACACAAAGTTGTAAATTATCAAGTGCACAGTCCATTAGTTTTTAAAGTGAATACATCCATGGGACCAGAACTCAGATCAAGAAACAGAACATTTGCTCCAATAGCCTCCCTCATGCACCCCACTTAATCGTTCCCCTTGTCTAAGCTAATTGCTATCCCAACTGGTAGTATCATAGATTTGCTTTGTCTGCTTCAGAATTTATATGAGTAAAATGATACAGTTTGCATTTTTTCGTATCTGTTTTTTTCACTCAGTATTATGTTGTGAGATACATTCCCATTCTGCTCATAGCTGCAAATTGTTCATTCTTATTGCAAACCATCACAATTTGGTTTTTGACATAAATACAATCATGCACTTAAAGTCATGCTGCCACCAACTTCCTGAAATGCATGCACTGATATACTCAGAACCTAGACTGGCGATTGTTGGTCATAAAGAACATGTGATACTCAGATTTAGCAGCCTTGGCTTCATTTTATAGGCGGTGAAAAGGGAAGTTCAGAAAGAGAAGAGATTTGTCCAAGAGCACCTACTTACTGAGCTATTGTAGAACTGGGATTATTCTCTTTCTGTGCAACTTGTCTAGGTTTAGCTTCCAGAGAAAGGGTGGCTTTGATATTCAGAAGATCACACACATTCGTCTCGAGCCTTCCTCATAGTAACTGTAGGGTAGGATGAAACCAGTGATCAAAAGGAGGGGGAAGCTGTCAGTGAGGCCATAATTGCAAACACCAGCTTAGGTGAGAGGGAGCAGTATAGGTTTACCTCTGCACCTTACAGAAAGGCACTGTCCTACTTTATGGCTGTGTCTATAAGCAAGACTGAGATTCCATCTACTTCTCTGCCAGCTCTGGGTGAGGCACTTTCCCATATATTAGCTCACCTAATCTGAAAAAACTCAGACCCATTTATATCCATAGGGATTCTAAACGCATTATGTCAGAGTAAAGTATATGAATTTCAAGCAAACAGGCACAATTTAGAACAGTACCCCTGTAAGGCTCTCTGCTAAAGAACCAACCGAGCGCAGACTGGTATTTTATAAAATACAATAAAAAGGATTACCAGAAAGATAAAAAGCACTCAAGATACAAGCTTCTAGTCTTCATTTTTAGACTAAATGGACATCAAATTGCACTCTCAGTTACTATCAAAGTTTTTAAAAACATAATTTCTATATATCTTTGTAGGCTAATAACAGGATTCAGATCAACACTGATTTATAGACTATACTTTAGCACAGGTTTTAAAAAATTCATCACCTATTCTCCATCAGCCTCTCAAGAGATTAACAGTTATCTTAGGGATAGAACATTTTGAAAAGCAAGTTTTCTGAAACGCTAGGACGCATTCACACAGGTTTCTGCCCACGTTAATGAGATTTAACCATTCCTCTGTCTTTATCCCAAAAAACTCTTGCCTAGGAAGATAATAGTGGCAAATAGCTTTATTGTTCTTTTCAAGAGCTTCCCTTAAGATCTCATTCAAGTGGATATGAAACTAGTGCATGTTTCAATTGCATTAAAAAGACTGTTTACTCTTTAAGACTCTTGGAAAGTTTTTCCTTATAGTCACCAACCCTAAACTATTGTATCACAATCCTTAGTCAAACTTAGGCAGCACTGCACTCAAAGGCCTGGCTTCATCCAGATCTTGAAGCCTTAAAAATATACCCCGTTGTTCTCTGGTACATGAAGATACTACAAAGGCTCACCTTTTGACTGTGTATAATAAGCTCAGCTTTTTCTTCTCCATTATGTTTTGCTGGTACCATTTTTTTGAAAACCAGAATTCAACAATCAAATTTGGTTCTCGCCACGTGGTTGGTGCATGCCTGAATTCCCAGCTACCTGAGAAGCTGAGGCAGGAGGAGAGAAAATTTGAGGACTATCCAGGCAGCTAAATGGATGCTGTCTCAAAATTTAAAAGTCCAGGGATATAGCTCAAGGGTAGAGCACTTGCCTAACATGTATGTGTGAGATCCGTCATGCACTCCCCAGCCAGGGAAACAAAAATATAAAAGGTTCTGTTTTTTTCCTGTTAGTGGTTTTCAAAATTTAGAGGGAACCATAAAAACTACTACACTTGAAATTGTTGGTTGTAAGGAACGTGTGATGTCCAGCTTTAGCGGTTACTGCCTTGGCTTCATTTTATCAGTGATGGAAAGGAAAGACCAGAAAGGCAGATTTGCCCAAGAGCACCAAGTTACTAAGCTAAGAGTAAATCCAAGATTGTTCTCTCCCAGTGCAAGGTCTAGTTTTCAGGGGAAGGGGCTTGCCTTGAGATTCAGAGGAACCTCATCAATTGATACATTCAATGTGGCATTGTCTTTATAATTACCCTTGGGTAGGATGAAACCATGTATGATCAGCTTAATAAGAAATCTCCTTGGGTAATCCTGATTATGCCATACTTAGGATCTAAGTCCTGGATACAGACATAAGCAATTGGTAAAAGAATCATAGAATATGAAGTAGCCCTACATGCCCAAATATCTCCATGTGGATGGCTCCATCAAAATCACCAAATTGTATTGGTTTAAAGGCTCCCTATTTTTCGATTTCACTTCAAATTCCATGAATCTGAACTTCTACAAACAGGGCTTGTTAATGGTCGTTAAGTCTGATTAATCCCAGTTGGTCTTAAGAGCCACTGTGCTGTTTGAACCACTCCATTCCTTAACTTTTTTTTTTTTTTTAACTTTTTATCGGTACCGGGGATAGAACTCACGACCGCCTGCTTGCAAGGCAGGTGCTTATGCCGCTGAGCTAAATCCCCAGCCCCTGCTCCTTAAAGGAAGCAACAAACTCCAGACACTTTCCCGCGATCACCCAGCTACTGAGCAGCTTGGTCTTCCAATTCACAAGAGCTGCAGCTCGGATTTTGAAGACGTCCTTTTGCCTTTGCTCTCTCGGACAAGAGCTGTTATCAATGTAATCAAAACACAACTTCCTGGTGACTTCCTGGGCAGGCGCGATACATTGTATCAGTATGAGTCCTTACACACCAGGTTCTCTGACAGCCTCTTAACTGGCAGGCAGTTTCCGCAGTCACTGTACTAAACGCCATACTGAGGCAGGATGGCTTGGCAGAGCGCTGACCCACAGTGCCCGCGGTTGTGTCTTCCCCAAGCTCGGTTCCATCAGTACCAGGAGCTTCAGTACCAGTTGGGGAGCTGCTAGCAACATGCGTGGCTTGCAAGAACTAGCCAGAGCCCTGCACGCCTGGGCTTCCAACTTTGCAGTCTTAAAGGGGTTGGGGAAGAGGACGCTGGCACCGAGAATACTTAAGTGCAGGCCGGGCTGTTGTTGGTGTCCACTCTGGTGGCCAGACTCCAGCTCAGTCCACTCCAATTCGTTCTTCCACTAGCAGGCCCATGTCTTAGGCACAAGGCCTGGGCCTAAGGGGACAGGCGGCAGTGCAGGGACGGGCCGCCCCTCCTAGGGCCCGGGAGGTCGAGTGACCCGGGGGGTTCGGTGCAGATCCTGATCCGAGTGAGCTCCCCAGCTGCAGCGCGCCCAGTCGGGAGGGCTACACGGGCGAGGCGGCTGGGCCTCGGGCCGGGGCGCGCTGGGCCTCCGTCCGTCCGTCCGTCTGCAGACAGCCCGGGCCGGCGGCCTCGCAGGGCAGGGCGGAGGGCGGCGCGAGGGAGGGAGCGAGGGACGGAGCGCGGCGCGAGCTGCCTCAGATGCCTGGAATAATTCCGCTTCCGTTTGGAAGCCGCAGCCCCAGTCGGCGCGTCCGCCCAGCTCCGGCTCCGGCTCCGGCTCCGCGTCCCGCTCGGCCTGCGCCCCCCGCGCGCCATGGCCACCTCCCCGCAGAAGTCGCCGTCGGCCCCCAAGTCCCCGACCCCCAAGTCGCCCCCGTCCCGTAAGAAAGATGACTCTTTCTTGGGCAAACTCGGAGGGACCCTGGCCCGGAGGAAGAAGGCCAAGGAAGGTGAGTGCGCCGAGGCCGGCGGGCGCCCCGCGCTGCGCCCCGCGCCCCGGCCGGCTGGGTCTCTGCGCCCCGCGCGCGCTGCAGTCCCGGCCGGCGCTGGAGCAGGCCGACCGCCCTGCCTGGCCGCGGGCGGGCGCCGCGTGGCCTCGGGAGGCTGCGGGGCTCAGAGCCCGGCCCCAGCCCGCAGGCGGCGTCCCGCTGTAGCCCAGTGTCCCCGCCCTCACGGCGCCCGAGGGCTGGCATTTCCCAAATTTCTGCAGCAAGTTTTCAGGGCACCGTCACTTTCACTCTTTGCCTTCATTGGACTTTTGAAATCGAGTCTTTTCCTGGACTTGCTGAAGCCCTCTTGCAGCAGTTGAGCGGCACTGGCCTCTTGGGAGGTCTTCTGTGCACCCCCGGGGCTCTGTTGACAAAGTCGATCACTAATGTTTGTTGAATGAATGAGTGAGTGAACAACGAGCTGACCCGGCTGGCCCGCCTTGCAAGCAATGATAAACTCTCCCCCAAGGAGAACACCTGGCTTAGATACACCCTTTGAAATCTTGAGCCTTGACCTTGATGTAACCTCAGGCGCTTAGGGCTTCTAAAAAATCATTTTCTTTTCCCTGCCAAAGTGAACTGAGGCAATCTTGCATTTTTTTTTCCCCCTTTCTAGTTTGAGTCTAAAAGTATTTTGCCCTGTGGGTAGGTTTTGTATCCTGGTTTTGGAGTTGAAAAAATGAGGTGACAATTCTCAAGAAGCACTGCAGCGACTGTGGGGTGCGTGGGTAGAAACTGCTGGGTTAAAAAATGTCTTCGGTAGAGGACCCAGTGGATTAGAAGTGAACTTTCGGAAAACCGTGATGTTGAGTTGTAAAAATTCCATGTTCTCAAGTTACCTTTAATTTTTTTTTGCCAGTATATGCTTGTGATGCGTATGAAACACCGTCATTGTGAGGAATCGGTCCATATACACATGACGTCTTGATCCTTATTTCCCTGTACCCCTCTTCTGTTTTATCCATCCCCAGATTACTTTCCCATCTTCACAGTCTGTCTCCTGAATCCTATAGTCTCTTACTTTGCTTGGTGAATTGTTTGTCCTTTGTGTTTCTGATAGAAGAGAAACTAGGCAATATTTAGCCTGAGTCTGACTTATTTCGTTTAGTATTATGGTCTCAAAGCTCATCCACTTTCCTACAGAGGAGCCAACTTTATCCATTATGGCGGAGTAGTATTCCCGTGTGGGTATAATCTGCACTTTTTGAAATCCATTCGTCTGTTGGTGGGCGTATAGGTCACTTTCAAGACATAGTGATTATGATGAGCTGCTATAAACATGGTTATGCAGGTGTCACTGTCATACCATGTCTTAACTCTTGGGAAGATACTCAGAAGAGGTATGCCTAGGTCTAATGGAATTTCTACTTTTAGTTTTTTGAGTAGGCTCCATATTGATTTCCATAGTGGTTGTACTAGTTTATATTTCCACCAACAGTGTAGATAGAAGGGTTCTTTTTGTGCTAATATGTTGCCAGCATTTGTTTTTTAAATTTTAATTGTTCGCTTGTTTGTTTATTTGTTTGAGACAGGATCTAATTATGTAATTTGGGCTGGCCTTGAACGCATTATGTACTCCAGCCTGGTCCTGCTGTTGTAGCTCTCCTGTCTCTGCCTCCTGTGTGCCTGGATTAGAGACGTGTGCCACTGTACCCTGCACTGTGTTTTGAATTCTTGATGATAACCATTCTTTCTGGAGTAAGATAGAATCTCAGTGTTGTTTGATTCGTATTTCTTAATGGCCAAAGATGCTGAACATTTTTCCATATGTACTATATCAAGTTGTCTTAAATGTGTAGAAATGACTTCAGTGTTGAGAATTAGCAAACTTGGCCCAAAAGCTAGACTTCTATTTTCCAGATTTATCTGAGAAACAGAAGAAACATATCCCCACAGTTCCCCTCAATTTTAGTATAGTTGTGTCAGTGGCATCACAAGACCCCCAAGGGATACCTGAAATCAAATAGGCCCAAACTCTGTGTACTGTATACCGCTTTCTCCTAGAATATAGAATTTATGGTACAGTTTATAAGTTTGGTATAATAAGAGGTGATAATAGTAGCTAGTAATAAAATAGAATAGTTAGAACAATATGTGCACATCACCCCTCCTGATTATGTTGTACTCACCCTTCTTTGGTGATACTGTGAAATAATACAATGCTGGTGATGAGACAGTGATGAGAATACCATAAGCATTGCAGGCATTGTGATGAAGGGTTAGGCTGCTGAGCAGGGGTCACTAGAAGACAAGGCACTGCATGGGTTGACAGTTAGTTTGACAATTGAGATGATAGTTGAGATGGCTGCTAAGTGACAGATGGTGGGTAGTATATACCATGCGGATACACTGGACAGAGGAACGATTCATGTCTTAGAAGAGGAGGTAACATGAGATTCCATCATGCTACTTGGTTAAAAACTTACAAATTTTTATTTCTGGATTTCCCATTCACTATTTTATGACCCCAGGTGGCCCTAGGTAACTACAATAAAACCATGGAAGTGAGGCTGTGACTAGGGAGGACTATTGTATTTTGATAAATCATAGTTTAGTGTATAGGACTAAGGATGAATCATGAAATCTGGCTTGCAATGCCCTATTCTAAACTATCTTTCTAAATTTTTTCAACACTGTTTCTGCCTTGGGCTCATAATTCTTGGAGCTCATGATCTGCCAGGAGTACCCACTCACCTTTGCCAACTCGGAAAAGTTTATGTTTAACTAAAAGGTGGTATTTCTGTACCCACTACTATCTGTGGGGCTGAGAGTGAGTGTGATGGTGGCCCTTTTCCCTTTTCAAGTAGGCTGCACTGGAGGCTTCCCTCGCCCAGGCTGAACACCCTCTGTTCCTGCAGCCAGTTGTCACAGACATGAGTTTAAGGCTGTCTGGCCTCCTGTCCCTATTCCCAGCCAGGATCCTTGCCAGAAACAGAAGACCAGTTTCATTGGGATTTTAGAAGGAATCAGTGAAGGGATTATTTATAGAGTTGTGGGTAGCATTAAGGGAACCGAAAAGGGTGCTGAGATACCTCCTGGCTTGGCAGCAGGGGAAAGCTGTTTTACCCCTGGATCTAAAGGAAGAAGCGAAGCACCCCATGGGAAACTGGGGCTGTGGAAGAGGGACTGTCCGACAGGAAGCATAGTTGGAAAGGGATACAGCCACTGTCAGAAATGTGCAGATGGAGAGGGAGAAGACCATAAAAGAAAGGCCTGTTGTCTAGTTGCTTCATTTCTCTTCCCATTGACTGAGACCAGTGGGAATCACCGGGGAACAAGAATCGGGGTGAGGTAGTATGTAAGGGCCAACTCCTCCCTAGCCTAGACTAGATCAGAGAAGTAGAGGGACCTGGAAAGTGCCCAGCAGGCTCTGTCAAAGGGAACTGCCAGAAGTCTACACAGTACAGTAGTAATTGAAGCCGACCAGTCCAGATCAGAGCTGGGCGATTGCTTGCCTTATTCTAGCATAGATACTTTGTTTTGTTAATGCAACTAAGGGTACTTTTCCTTTATTCTGCTGGCTGTATCATAGAATCCCTCATTGAGTTTGTTATTTAAAGGCACTTTTATGTTGATTGCTGCTCCCTAACTTGGGTTTACTCAACTGGGTTTTTGAAACCAAATGTAAGATCTTATTTTTATCCTTGTTGACTGCAACAGGGATACAGGACTGTAAAGTCCTGATTCTGTTAGTCTGTTCGGGAATCCAGGGACTATAAATGGGAGAACAGGAAAGCCATGGCTTCTTCTAAAGGGCAGGTCACCACCCAGCTCCGGATGCTTGCCGTCCCCACCTATAGTCCTGCAAGCCATTCAAAGAAAACAGCAGACTCAGTGTGAAATGATTGTGCCTAGTGAGCGAGTACTGGCCGCATTGATCAGGGTGCCTTTGTCCAGGGCATTCTGACCATCGCTTTTGTAAAGTGCGGCTGGGTCCTGCTCTGTATCCTGTATAAGCTCATAGCTCTGTGCATTGCAGAATCAGTCTTACTTTCCTCTCATTCTTCTTGATTTCTCAAGATCACTGACCTTGGTCTGTTCATAAATTATCGCAGTGCTTTGGCAGTGAACCCTTAACTCCAGTTCATTCATTTGATACCTCACGTGTGTAGGACATAAAGATTGGAAAGACACAGAACATGTGGGAATAGGTAAGTCAATAATTTAATGTAGAAATACGTCTTCCCAAGAATGCTACATGCATCATGGGATAACGTAAGCCTCATTAGATTACATTAAACAAGGCCGGGATCCCTCTTGTGTTTTTATAGGAAAAACTAGTGTTACAGAGGCAAGAGAAAATAGGAGTTCAAAAAGGATAGTATTTAGGATCGGGCATATTTGGGTTCGATCTCTGTTCTTGTTCTTTATTTATCACGTTTTAGGACAAGTTCCTTGAACCTCTAAGCCTCTTTATCTAGAAAATGAGAATAAAAATTGTATCTTTCCATGGAAGATGTAATGGTCGATATATTGTGTCAACCTGAGAAGTTTAGAAGTTTAACTAAGTGACTCAGCAGGAATCCAGGGGCCTCACTTTGTAAACATCCTCATCCTGTGCAAGAGAAGGGCACAGACATGGTGTGAGGGTTACACCCATCTGAAGGCAGGTAGCCTGCGTACAATGTAAGGGAGGAAAAGAGGCTTGCTATTCTTGGTCTTGTTCTTGTTGCTTTTGCTGTCTTCTCCTGCCATGAGCAGTTACACGGGTGCCACACCACTCTGCCTTGGAGCCAGCTGATTACAGACTGAAACCTCCACAGACTGTGGGCTAAATAAACCTTTCCTTCCTTAATTTTGGACTTCAGGTATTTTGTCCCAACAATGAGAGAACAGTAACTATGACAAAGTATGAAGTTTATATCACATGGCCCAGATAATAGTAGCCACTGAAATTGACAACTCGTTTTTAAAATTTGAAACAGGCTTTATTTTCTACAGATTCTGAAGTTTCTACAGAT